AGGAGGATGCAGCCCTTCATTCCTCAATTGATTCACATTGACCAGGTAGGCTTTGTGGAGCAATACAATTAGAGTAATTAACCTTATACATACCTCCAGGTTAAAGGGAGTCCCTCTAAAGGTGCTTTCTCCTGTTGCATATACGTCTTTTGAGTAGGTGGATTGGCAATTTATACGTGGGTTTGATTTACTAAAACTATAGAGTGCAAAATCTGGTGCAGCTCTGTACAGAAACCATTTAGCTTCCAGTTTTCTTTTTTTTTTTTGTCAAAGCATAATTGAACAAGCTGAAGTTAGAGTCTGATTGGCTACCATGCTCAGTTGCACCAGATTTTGCACTCTCCAGTTTTAGTAAATAAACCCCATAGTGTTTTAAACATATTGGCCTAGGGCACTGAGATCTTGGATTGTGGCTTTGTATTCGACTCCCCAGACAGTTGTAAAGGTAAATTAAGCACGTTCTGACTTCTTTCCTCCTAAGAACAGTACTAGCAGGGGTGCACTCTTTCCCCCTTGATATTTATTCTGATGCCAAAGCCTCTTCTGTGTACAATTAGAACACATCCCTCTATTGGAGGTCTCCAGGTTTTCCTAAGTAGAAAGATAGTGGCATAGGCTGATGATATTTTGTTCTTTATTTCCAATCCAGTTTCTGCTTTTCCAATTTTGTTAAGTTTATTTCATCATTATGGGGGAACTCTCTAATTTCAATATTAATTGAATTAAATCAGAGGCACTTAATGTTTTTTTATCCTCATCCTTAGGTCAAAAATAAAAAGAGGAGTATCCTTTTCAGTGGGCAGATTCTTTTTTTACCTATTAGGGTAATAAATACTCTACTTTATACAAAGTTAATTTTCACCCTATTTTAAAGAAGATAGGGCTGGAGTTGCAGAGTTGGCTATCCCTCACTTTGAGATGGCTTGGTTGAAGTAATGCTGATTCACATTCCACAAGCATAGTCTACTCATTTATGACTACCATGAGGTCTTAAATATGGGGTGGACAACAGCTGTATTTAAGCTATTCCATTTTGACTCTTCCCAAGGCAGCAGGTGGTATTGGTCTGTCAGTTATTGAAAAGTACTACAGAGGATCCCATTAATCATGGGTAATCACTTGGTGTTCCTATTTGGACCCTAAGCATGGTGGAAATAGACTGTACCTCTAGATCTCTCTCTGTTCTGGCTTGGTACATAGTAGATTCTAAGAGAGAGGAAGGGATATAATACACAAAGTGCCAACATCCCTAATGAATACAAGGGGGGGGGGGGGAGAGTCCTCTTTTTTGGTGGGACTTTAATGGCACAATTTACATGCATGATAAATTCCAACAATTCAAAAGAGATTTTTTATAAAAACAGTATGAAATTTTATTTTTACAATCTTCAAAAATAAATATAAAGCTACAATACATATTGTGGCGGTGTAATCAAAGATGGTATTGCAAATCTAATCATGGATCATGCATGGTACGCACTTGACGCGTTTCGAGATCAACAAAAATCTTTTCTTCAGAAGTGCTCAAGAAGGCATGACATCTATAACAAACATATATATATATATATATATATCAATATACATGATGCAATCAAATTATTGTAAACAATTTGATACTTTCCAATATGGTTATACACTTACATGATTCCATGTGAGGTAAAAACCCCAGGACATATTAAGAACAAATTGTGAACACAGCCACGGATTTCTCATATATCTCAGGCAAAAATGATGAAACAAAAATGAATAAAGAAAAAACTAAGACCAGTGGATGAAAAATGCCGCCCAAACGCACCTCTGAAGGAGTATTATAGCTTTATATTTATTTTTTGAAGATTGTAAAAATAAAATTTCATACTGTTTTTATAAAAAAATGTATAATACAAGTAAATTGTGCCGTTAAAGACCCACCAAAGAAGAGGACTTATCCCCCCTTATAGTGGATTCTAAAAATCTCACCCGACTATAGGACCAACTCTTGTTGTAGTGCGTAGGATCTTTTCGCTTTCTGAGCTCTCGCCTACCCCATCACTCTTCTTACCAGTGATAGAGCACCCATATTTCTCAGGAACCATGGAGAGCAAACAGCTTAGGTGATTCCTATAGGTGGGCAAGAGGAGAATTTAGCATTTTATTTCAAATCAGAACTAGCTAGATCACCCCCACTCCCATTGGGGTCTCTAGCTGCTTTTCAAATTAATATTTTCTTAGGTCCTTACCTTTTCCTACTCAAAATGCTAGGCCACTCTCTTCCTTTGACTCTTTATGTAAGCACTGGCTAGTTTCCTCATGCCTGTTTTAGGCAGTTTATAAACTATTGCTTGAAACCCTGGATGACTATGTTCCTTTTTTCATTCATATATGGGAATCAGTGTTAACGCTTGCCCTCTACCCTATAGCAGAAGTACTGCTACACGGAGGCTGGGCTGTGCTAAATTGCGTAAATTTATGTGATTTGCATTTCCAGGTAGAGGGCGAATGCGCATACACCCTACCCAAGCCAATATTGCCTGATTGGGATGTCAATCACCAGGTCCCAGTCAGCGATTCCCAGCCAAGACTTGGTGATCATCAGTAGGGCTGCAAAGGGGAGAAATCTGTGTGTAAACAACACAGATCTCTCTCCTGTCATCATGGACATGCTGTTTTGTATCTCTCTGCACAGCACAGCACAGCACAGCACAGCACAGCACAGCAGAGAGATACAAAACAGCATGTCTCCCTAGTAAAACACACACAGCACACAGTTAACACTTTGATCGCCCCAGATATTAACCCCCTCCTGCCCAGTGTCATTAGTACAGTGTCAGTGCTTTTTATTAGCACTGATCATTGAGGATGTCAGTGGCTGTTAGCCAGTTCCCACTCAGTGTCAAAATGCCCGCGCAGTCACGCAGACCTGCAGTCCCGCAGCCCCGCTATAAGTTGCTGATCACCGCCATTACTAGTATAAAACAAATAAAAAAAACTATTCCAGTATATATGCTGCCATTTGTAGATGCTATAACTTTCACGTAATCCAATTAATATACGAGGGGTGACTGAAAAGTTCTCGGCCTACCCATGAAGCATTTGTCTTAGCCCTATTTTATTTTTGCTACTAATAGTGCATTTCTTTGCAAGGTTCTATACCAAATTTCTCACAAATAGCTTTTTCTTTGTTTCAGTTATTGAAGACTGAAGCGCAGAGGGTCTTCATTGTCTTAAACATGGAGAAACTGAGAAAACGTGCTGTTATCCAATTCCTGCTGTCTGCTGCCTTTGTTTTAAACAGTCAACATTCTCGGGACCCACCGACTTGACACCTTGTGGATGTCCAGCATGACTGTTAAAATGTGTCCAACATGTTCCTGTGATATGTCCACTTTCTCTGCTGCAATGAAACGTTCTGTCACACGCCTTTCTGCCATTACGAGATCCTGGATTGCTGTGATGTTTCCCTCCATACAGGCAGTTGCTGGCCTTCCACTGTGAGGGGCATCTTGGACAGAGGGGTTCCCCCTCTTGAAGTGGATGTCCTGTGCACTCATTCCCTTTTTCAGCAGGTATTGGATAACAGCACATTTGCTCACTTTCTCCATCTTTTAGACAATGATGACCTTCTGCGCTTCAGTCTTCAATAACTGAAACAAAGAAAAAGCTATTTGTGAGAAATTTGGTATGGAACCTTGCAAGACAAGACAAGACAAATGCTTCATGCGTAGGCTGAGAACTTTTCACTCGCCCCTTGTACACTTATTGGGATTTTTTTTAGCAAAGACATGTAGCAGAATACAATTTGGCGACATATATGAAGACATTTAATATTTTATTGGATCTGTTTTATAGCAAAAAATCAAAAACATTGTTTTTTTTTTTTCAAATTGTCAGTCTTTTTTTGTTTATAGTGCAAAAAATAAAAAAATACCACCAAAAGAAATCTCTTTTTGCTGGAAAAAAATTCTAAAAACTTAATTTATGTACAGCGTTGCATGACTGCGCAATTGTAATGCAGTGCTGTATTGCAAAAAAGGGCCTGGTCAGGAAGGGGTGCAAATTCTCTGAAGAGCAAGTAGTTAAAACCTACATTCTCTAATTCTCATATATGCAGGGCAATTCATCTATCACATTGGACTTCAAGAACAAAGTTATAAAGCTTCTTACATGTTGGTACCGTGTTCCTGCCCTCCTTCACAAACATTTTCCAGTTCCTGCTGGCGGCACTGCCTTCAAAGTACGGGATCCTTATCTCATATTTTTTGTGCCTGCCTACTTCGCCCATTTTTGGAGGAAGCACATAAAACAATTTGCTTCTCTGTATATATACTATATTGACAAAAATGTTGGGATGCCTGCCTTTAGAAGCACATGGACTTTAATGGCATCCCAGTCTTAGTCTGTAGGGTTCAATTGTTATTGAGTTGGCCCACCCTTTGCAGCTAAAACAGCTTCAGCTATTCTGGGAAGGCTGTCCACAAGGTTTAGGAGGGTGTCTCTGCTCTATTTCATCCCAAAGGTCTTCTGTCGGGTTAAGATAAGAACTCAGACATGTTGGAACAGGAAGGGTCCGTCCCCAAACTTTTCCCACAAAGTTGGGAGCATGAAATTGTCCAAATTATCTTGGTATTCTGACGCCTTTAGAGTTCCCTTCAATGGAACTAAGGGGCCAAGCTCAACCCCTGAAAAACAACCCCACACCATAATCCCCCCTCCACCAAACTTTACACTTGGCACAATGCAGTCAGGCAAGTACCGTTCTCCTGGCAACCGCCAAGCCAGGACATGTCCATTGGATTGACAGACAAAGAAGCATGATTCGTCACTCCAGAGAACACATCTCCACTGCTCTAGAGTCCAGTAGTGGCATGCTTGACAGTACTGCATCCAATGCTTTGCATTGCACTTGGTGATGTAAGGCTTGGATGCAGCTGCTTGGCCATGGAAAAACATTCCATGAAGCTCTCTGTTGTGCTAATCTGAAGGCCACATAAAGTTTGGAAGTCTTTAGCTATTGACTCTGCAGTTGGAGAGTTCTGCGCTTTGTGCACTTCAACATACACTGACCCCGCTCTGTCATTTTATATGGTCTACCACTTCGTGCTGGGTTGTTGTTCCCAGTTGCTTCCACTTTGTTAAAATACCACTAACAGTTGACAATGGAATATTTAGTAGCAAGGAAATTTCACAGATGGACTTATTGCACAGGTGGCAACCTATCACGGTACCATGCTTGAATTCTCTAAACTCTTGAGAGCAACCCAATCTTTTACAAATGTTTTTAGAAGCAGTCTGCATGCCTAGGTGCTTGATTTTATACACTTGTGGCCAAATGTATATATATAAAACTATTGGGATAAGGGACCTTACTGGGGAAATCTCCCATGCAATATATTTTGCTTCCTTTTACCTTTTGTTTACTGTATTTTTCTTTTCTTACTGCCTTCTTTTTCTTTTTTTTTCTTGTTGCATTTTATTCTGTTTTTTTTTTACTTATTTTATAATGTTTATTTTTGGTCAATTTATTTTATCTTTGATGGCCTTGCTGTGTGTTAATTGGAATTTACTGTACTTATAAAATCCATATGTGGCATATGACGTGGTATGCTGGTTGCACATCTAAATGTTGCCAAATTTACTTATGTAAGAATATGCCAGTTTTTTTTTTTTGGATACATAAAAAGTAAAGTAAAGAAAAAACGTATTTCTAAAAAGAAAAGTTGGTTCTCATGAAAACACAGTGAACACAGGCACACAAACTATAATTTACTGCAAAGTATTGCTGTCAATATACAGCCATAAATATATTGCTGAATATAGCACTCTATAGCTGTAGCAGTACACTATACTGCAAGCTCTCTCTCCCTGAAATACTGTCAGCCAGGGGCGGACTGACCATTTAGAAACTTGGGCACTGCCCGAGGGCCCAGGGTCAGTAGGGGGCCCCATGAGATGCCCCTGGTACCTTTTTCATAGGTTTTTTTTGAGTTTGGGCAAGGACACAGGGGCCCCATGATCCCCTATTGCCCGGAGTTTTCAGTCCGCCCCTGCTGTCAGCTGTCCCTCACACTAAACTTCCACAGTCTGACAAGCAACCTTTATAGTGTGTGGGTTGCAACTGTGTTAAAAACCATAATGCTTTATGGGATGCTTGTTGGAGCAATTCCTGATGAACAACCCTAAAGTTTAGGTGTATTCTGAACAAAAGAAATTCGGTCCCAAATTAAGTTATTGAAGAGCAAGTAACACACAGAATGCAGGGTAATAAATTCAGTTGCAGAATATTTAAAATAGAATACACCTTGTCCATTGTCTTGGTGGTTGCACCTGCTTTCTCTTATGACCCCCCCCCCCCCCCCCCATATTCAGCATCCAACAACACTGCCTTCCCATTCTATTTGGTTACCCCCTGCATTGTCTTTGGGGGCTAGATAGTGTAGAGTAAACATTATAGTGTTTAGGCTCCAACTCAAGTCACACTGATCAAGTGCCAATCCAAAATGGCACAGCTGGACTGACCAGTGTGTACATGATACCACATTTTGGATTGATACTTGTGATGAGCTCAATCCTGTGCACTGCAGTGCTTAATCTTCAGTTCCCTGCTCCTGGGGGCAATCCCAGGGACAACTGTTTCTTGGGGACAGATCCCTCACAATGGGGCTGTTCCCAGGAAATGGGGGCAAATCTACACATATCAAAAATCAGTATTAATGCAAAAGAGCCAAAATTATGAATATCTCAATCCTTTTTCAAAATTAATTTTTTTTTTATGTTTGTATTCTATTTAAACCTCTCTCTGCAATCAGACTTTTTCAGAAAGTTTTATAACTATGCACTGCAAGCTATGGGAATGATGACATTTCTAGAATTATAGTCTAGGATTCAAATAAACATTTGTCTTTGGAATCAGGTTTGGGCTATACAACATGGGAAAAACAGACACAGAGCTTGCTATACTGTTTGAAGCAAGCTTTAGCTAATCTTCCCCTAATGTAAGGACAACCTAAAGACCCATTTGGACATTTTTTGTACTGTGATTTTAAAAGGAACATGGTTACTTGATAATGCTTTTACTTTTCATCCTAAATTCATATATATGATGTAGTTTGAAACCACGGTGGGGATGGCATAAATGTTGGCAATCTGACTGTACAAACTAAATTTTTGTTGAATGGTGTACAAAAGAATAAAAAAATAAACTTAACAAAACTTACTATCAGATTATAACTTGACATTCTGTGTAGGTGGTGATTGGAATCTTGCTGAAAAACAGCATGATTCATAAAAGCTTTGCGAACTCCATGTGTTTCTCTGTTTCTAAAATTCCTTTAAAAAGAGCAATTTGATGTTTTCATTTTAATTGTAGCATCCAGTCATGCTTTCTTGCTAGTATCTATTTGCATTCTTGTGCAAAATCAAAAACCTTTCCAAATTGTTCTACTTAAAGGGGAACTGTTTAAAATGTATTGCTTGGAATTGCACTTTAACTGCTGTTTCCATCAGGGATCAACTGACATATCTGTTAATAAACATTTAGTCCACATGTTTTAACTTTCACAAATCAATTAACTCAGTATGATATCATGTGTATGAATATTGTATTATTAAGGGTAGTGGAACATAGGTAGGATAGGATATTTATCAAGCACATAACAATATATGAATAAGGAGGATTTAGTTTTCTGACCTTTCAACAGTGAAATCTTCTCAACTCAGTGATAAAGGCAAAAGCAGAACTTTAAAGGTCAAAAGTGGTTTATTACTACACCTTGGCTATTGTAGTTCATAAATTAATGTCAATAGCACAAATGTTGCACAAATCAATAAAAATTATTGATATTGTACTAAGCACAACTGGTTGTAAAGGCAAAAAAAGCAATTTGTTACTCAGCTTTGATGCAGTTTCCATCTTATAATATATTTTTTCATAGAAACAGATTAAAAAGATATGTAACTTTTGAGGAATATGTGTGACCTTTCAGAATCAATATGATAAAAAGAGGAAGACATAACATTTTTCATAATAAAGTATCTTTAAAGAGTCATTTTTGCTTAACCTTTAATAAGAGTATGCTTAAATTAAGGGTATTATGGTAATGTAACATTCATTTAAAATAGTGCTATACTGTATAAATGTTGAAGGACATAAAGCTACATGATAGTTACAGACAATGTAAAATAGGTTTACAAACTTATTTTAAACATTCATTGAAAATATTGTTCTTTATAACATGTACGTTATTCTTTATATCTACAGTATAGGAAATGATATATGAATATGTTCTGTCCAATGCAGTGGTATTTTCTCCATGGGACACAATGGGGCTGACTTACAAAAGGCAATTAGACTGTGCACTCTGCAAGTACAATTGCTCCAGAGCTTTGTAAATGAGATAAAGATTCACTTTGCAAAGAATACCCAATGACGTGTAAGGAACATTTTAAAAAAGCACTTTTGCTTGCACATGATTGGATGATGGAAATCAGCAGAGCTTCTGCTCATTCACTAAGCTCAGGAGTAACTGTTCTTGCAGAGTGCAACTGCACTTTGCAAAGTGCACAGTTCATTTGCTTTTAGTAAATCAACCAAAAATGTGTTCCACACACGGGCCCCAAGGGGGTGGGGTCGAACCCACTGTGCTCGCACACTGTACAAAACTGTGGACAAGCATCACTGGTCCTGTATCTGTGCTGCAGCTGTACTTGTCACTTGCCGCTGCAGCACTGTAAGAAAATATATCCAGCGTTTGTGTATGCAGAACAGGGGATACTTTTCTGATGTAACATTGGGGACAGTTCCTTATTTTCCAGGTGGGCTAGGACTGAGATTAGTCACTGCTGTGGCCATACTTTAGCCCCACCACTGGAAATGGAGCAGGAGCACCCTTGCTGGGGAAAGGACAACCTTGAGTTCAAGGAAAGCAGTGGTAAAGTGAGCAGAGGAGGGCTGTTTGGAGAAACTGTGAGTGATATACACTATTGACCCCTAAACTTTGCATCAATTACTGCTGACCCCTGAACTCTGTACCACTTACTTCTGACCTCTGCACTCTGATTTGCTTACTGCTGACCCTCACTTCTACTTCTAACCTCACAGATTTCTACTTAAATCCTGTTGCATTTACAGAACATGACATGAAAGGAAATTTAGTATGGTCAGGTCTTTAACCCTTTCATACTTTGTCAAAACAAAAAAAGAATACAATTTTAGCTATACATTCACTTTGGAATTTCTTACTAGTGGTGTTCATGGTGCCATGTGTTCATAGACTGATCACCATGGTGATCACCATGGTGCCATGTAGTCTGCAACTGATGTTAATTGTTCAAGTTAATAGAGAGAAAGTATAAATTGTTGTCAAATCATTGTGGTTGAGATGTTAAAATAGCATTATACTGTATGTGGGTGACAGATGGTGTGGTAGGCCCCCACTCTGACTAAAGGCTGGTTGCTTTAGGCTGACATACAGGGCCACTTTTACACCTCTTACAAACCAGTTGTCACCAGGGACTGCTGAGCCCTAACCTGCAGAGTTTGCCCTCATATTTTACGCCCTCTGCTTGTACACAGGTTGTTTTGTCTTCCCAATGTACAGGTTTTTGCAGTCCTTTCTACATCAGATTGCATACGCCAGGTTATTTTGCTTGGGTTTTTGAAAGTACAACATTCTTTCTTAGGGGTTCTGCACTCGAGTGTCAATACCATGTGTTGAGGTGACATTTATTACACAGGTTGTTTTGTCTTCCCAATGTACAGGTTTTGGCATTCCTTTCTACATCAGATTGCATACGCCAGGTTATTTTGCTTGGGTTTTGGGGTTTTTGGAAGTACAACATTCTTTCTTAGGGGTCCTGCACTCGAGTGTCAATACCATGTGTTGAGGTGGCATTTATTTTGCAATTTTAAAGCCTCACAACTGTCCATTAATGCCTGACATGAATATTACAATGGGCACCGCACAGTGCTGTACACGGAGAGGTAGCACTGTGTTGTGTTAAAAAATTAAGCAGCATGTTACTTTCATGAAGCATTGATGCTTGGCAACCACCTCCATTGATTTCAGTGGTAATGCTCTGTAACTGCACCTTTACAGCACCTATAGTTGGGCACAGAGAAGTAGAAGAGGTTCCTGTATCCCAGGGTTGCACAGGGAAATAATAGAGAACCAGGATAGAGCAACGCCAAAGCAGGCGAGTGGTAACATTTTGATTCTGTGTACAGGAAAAAGTATGAAGCCAGTCAGCAGTACTGCCATTGCCAGGCAGGAGGAGGTATTGAGCATTATTGCCATTGCAAACCTTGTTTCAGCAAAGTTGAGCTGGACCAAGCCAAGAGTCAAAGTGATCAAAGTATATGAATCCATCTTGCAGAGAATTTACAAAAGTGCCTGCTATCACACCACAGCCTAAACATGCCTCATAGTAGATCATTACCATTACATCACTTCCCCT